CATGGCTCTTCGGTGAGACTTAACGCACCGAATCTTGGGATATAAAGACATCTTAGAGTAAAGCATGCTCCTTAAGGCTAAAGCACGACAAAGTCTTACCCTGTTTTACAGGAATTTGACGCTCATCGTTTTCACCCATTTTAACTGGAGACGTCGTTCGCCCACCAGAAGACCAATTCAATGCTGCCTCATATCGACACACTGCATAATTCTTCCCCACAATGACAAATTCCCTGGGTTGGACAATCGACTCCTTCTTTCTGGATTGACGTTGCATCGAAAACTTCACCCACTCCTCCCCGTCTGCATTCAACGCCTCAAAGGCAAAGAAATTAATACATTGCTGGCAAGGGCATGTAGCTGCCAACTGTTGTTGCATCGTTGCTAACTTGATTCGTCCACTCTTGCCAGCAGGTGCGGATGTGGAGAGGAGAGGACACTTAAACCAATTCGATGGACGACCTATTCTCTCCTCTATGAGAGCATTTAACTGATGGACTAATTCGCTAACCAAGAGGTCAATGCTCTGCAATGAAGCTAGCAGCATTTTTCGTTCAATCACGGGAGGCAACTGAGCAGACGTATTAACACATAGCCAAGGAAGAAGGGTGTGGGAGAAAAAGCCAGGCATGCGAATAGAATCCGCATGTACGAAGTAAGTAGAGGATGAGGAGTCAGCCTTTGTTATCGGTTCATAGGACACGTCAGAAGAGCGACTCTTGAATACTGGGACTTCAATTGAACAAGCCGGGAGGCCGAGCACAAAGTACTCCATAATAAGGTCGTAAAGGGCATTTTGCACTGCCGCGTAAAGTTTCTCAATGAGGAGCTTTAAATCAACATCACCACGTTCCCAGAGCCGCAGGCGCATAGCTAGACGATCTGGAGATGATGATACGGTGTCGTAAGAAAGCTGAATATCCGTCAGACATTCCATCAACTCGGATACACTAGCAATCCCTACTGCGTTTTCGCCATTTTCCCGACGACGTAGCCACTCTTGGAGGCTGAGACACGAAGTGATACAGAAGGGGTCCAAAGTGTTTGCCTGAAGGAGATCAATCACAGCTGTCACTAGACCAAATTTAGCTGCGCCAGCACCTCTTCGATGGTGGTAAAGCATCACCTCGACACGGCCGAAACGTTTTCGAAGACAAGGGAGAACTTCTCTCTCAGGTTTTGCAGCAGTCATGAAGGTTAGAAGATTCTGTTTTAGGTACTGACAGAAGGGGAAGATCAATGTTCCTCTAGGAACATGTGGAACCTTCGAAGAATCCGTAAGAAATCGCGGAAGCTTAAAAAACAACTGATGTCGAGGTTGATGTCCCCGGCGAGTGAAAAGGAAGTTAAAATCATGAGACGCGAAGCGGAAGAGAACAGTCCGAGATAAGACCTGCTGAAGACATTCAAGGACAATTTTATCCAAGAGCGATTGAAGGAGGGTTCTAACAAAGTTGCAAAAATGTCGACTGGGTGAAGATATTCCATGCAGCGTGGCTTGCAATTGGATTCGGTTTAGACTGCTAGAACAAGTGCTTAGAAAGAGTGGAAGACTTTCTCGTCGGGGTTGATTAGCAGGAGAGATTCTACGAGAAGTCTCAAGGGCAGGACTCGATTCGAGGGGCACCTCACGTAGAAGCATGTAGAAGATGCGTGGAAGCAAGCTTCTGCGACTAATGGGGTTCATGGCGTCTAAAGCAGGCTCCGAGTCATCAAAAACAAACATATTTTTCCGGTTCATCACTGCAAAGTTCTCTAATAAGCGCCGAAGTTCTGGAAGTACCTGATTTCCACGTTCTCCAGCGATGACCGCACGAGGAGACACTTCCATACTGAAAACGAATTTGGGAGAGCATGCCAACGATCCAGGTGGATAGGGATCTGCTAGTGCGGAGGCTGTTTCATTAGGAAGAGATTTTTTTCGAAGGGCGCCTTCGACTACCGGTCGGATCTCAGTGTTATCGGAATCTGTTGCTGAGGAAGCGACATTGCGACTATGGGCATGAGACGTTGCCAGAGGCTTCCGTTTGAAAGATGCAGACGTTTGCAGATGGCGCGGTGGTCGTTGCAGTGGCTCCAGAGGCTCGGGAAGGAGAGCAGGATCACAAAGACGATCGAGAACAAGTTGATCGAGAAGAAGAGACTGACTAACCAACCGTAAAATTGATCGAACGTCATCCAGAGCGCGACGGAAAACCACGCAATGCGGGCAAGCGTCTTCGACAACCGAGGGTTCATGGTGGGTATCGGAATGATGAAAGAAGGCTTGGATGGACGCGCTGCCAACACGGAAGATAAGCCAAAAGGCAGGGAGGCTGGGGCCGCTTATTTGGTGGATGAGTTCGAGGGAATCTTGAGGAGGAAATTGAGATGGCAGAGGGAAGCGAATGTCATTTTCAGCGTCAGTGGTAGAAGTAGGAAAGGTTGGTTGGTGCTCCAACGAAGCAAATGATGAGACATGGGTCTTTGAAGTGAGAGACTCAAACTCTGCGCTGTCATCACTTGCCTCAACCTTGAGATCTAATGACAAAAGCGATAAAAGGGAAAGCATTGATAAACTTAGGTTTACTTGGATTAACAAAACGAAATCTTAGGCTTTCTCTAAAACGCAGTAACCAAAGAGGTATTCGTGGCGCATATAAGCTCATTGAATATGAACTTTTGGTATTTACTGCATTGTCGTGAAAAGTTTAAAGACGGAAGGGACTTAGCTTTGTGAATATCAAGAATGAGATGACAAGCGTAATAATGACTTTACCAATGAAAACCGATTTCAATGTCAAATCTAAGTTTCCTCAGCAATGAATAAGGAGATTAAGAAAACTAAGATGT